ACTATTCAAAAAAATTGAATAGTAATTGAAGGGTGGGCTGTGCAAGGCTCTGAGCCACACACTAGAGTTTTATCTGGAGCCTACAGCAGACAGAGGCTCTGACTCAGAAGGAATCTGGTGAAATCAATACATTCTAAAATATCCTGGCCCTGTTCTGTAGGAACACAGGAGACCAGCTACCCAGCAGAGCAATACGGTAGTGATTCAGGGGTAGATGAGATGTATCTAAATAGGGATGGTGGCAGACAGGTGGAGACAAAAATTTATGGCAATGCATTTCAAAGTAAGTTGCAGAGATCAGTGCAGTTCACCCCTAGACAGATTGCAGATTACAGCAGTGCCAGTTAGAATTCAGAGCCAAGGTCGCAAGAGAGGTGATGAAGTCAAGGGCACCCAGGTTTACTTCAGACCCCAGAACCCAGACCAGGACATGAGGAGGGAAGACACAGGAGAGTGGACTCCTGGGGAAGGTGCTGTCATGAAGGTGGACTCACTGCCCAAAGGAGGCTGCAGAGAGAGAGCAGAGTGCACAGCCACGTCCTGACACGTCAGGGCTACACACGTTAGGGCACCAGGTAGACAAAAACATGGCACAGCAGGTGCTGAGACCTGGGGACACATGGGAGATGCAAGGAAGGGTGGGTGGTGGGAACACTGCAGGGATGTGGGAATGAGCAGAGGAAGAAGAGCCTGGGCTTCACCCGAGGGGTGGAGCAAGGAGCAGAGTCCTCCCTCTCGCTCATGGATCAGGGACCATGGAGAAAGGTGTGGATCTCCAACCTGCCCAGTGGGGCAGCGGAGGTGGGAGGGTGAGGCAGGAGACGCTGGGCGGGAACAGGTACCCAGCCTAACAGTGGGTATGTCCCTGATCTGCTGCTTTGATTTCCCTAGGTATTAAAGAGCCATGGACAAGACTACATGGTTGGCAACAGGCTGAGCAAAGCTGATGTCCTCCTGGTGGAACTTATCTACAACATGGAAGAGCTGGACCCCAGCCTTACTGCCAACTTCCCTCTGCTGAAGGTGATTGATTTTACTACCTCACAGCCTTCACAGATGCAGCCCCACATCTCCCATGGTACAGTCTAGTATTGGCGCCTTTGGGCTGGTGACATTCAGACCCCATCTTGTGTTGAACCTCACTGCCCCCAGGTCTCCAAACTGAGCCTCCAGGCCCTGGTTCTAAGGCATGACAAGAATCTCGGTATGGGAAGGAAAGTTGAGGCAGATCCTAACCCAATGTAACTGCATCAAAATGTGTGTACCACTCGGTCATCACAGGATAGCCAATAAATTGAGAAACAAGGTGTGGGGGACAAGAAGGTGACTTATTTGGATAGCCAGCAAATCAAGAAGATGGCAGACTAAGGTCCCAAAGAGCCATCTCCATTTAGTCTTCACTTTGGCCAAACTTATGTTTAGAAAAGTGTGAAGTAACCAAGGAGCATGGGTATCCAGGTGCCAGCGAGAGACTAAGGAGTTGGTAAAATATTTTGTACTTGGTCAGTTAACGTTGAAGGGTATAGGTCAGGTCATGATGTTCATTTGGGGAAAGATCCAGTTATCATCTTTCTAGAAGTATACTGATAACTGAATTCTTCCTATAATATGCTGGCCTACATGCAAAGCTAAGGAGAAGCTTTTCACCTAGAATACATTATTACTCTCAGTGAGAAGCAAAGTGGAGCTAGTTATATGACGCTTCCCTTCCACTGTTACACCAACTTGGCTATTGTATCCACTAGTAGAAAGGCCCCAGGCCCCACCCTCTCTCTCCCACCCTCTATTCCGTTGCATCCTCTGTGCCCGACTTCTCTGGGATTCCCTTCATTCCAGGTGCCCTCGGCTTCCCGCACCACATCTGTCTGGGCAGGTCTCTTTCCATCTGGTTTCCTTCCCTGGGCTCCACCCTCTCCTGTCAGACCTCATGTTCCTCTCTGCCCAGGCCTCCCCCACACTCCCCACCACCCCATATCTACTTCTCAGTAGGAAACTGGTTTGACTGGACCCAAGTTTGTCTCCAGTATTTTCTACCTTCATTCTGAACCCGGTTTTCCCGTGTTGACTTCTGATAGGCACATTATTATTTTTTTTTTGTCTTGCACAAGAGCCATGAAGCTCCAGGATTAATGTGTAAGGAACAAGGCAGGGAGGGCTGTGGATGCAACACAGAGTTAAGCCATCCTCAGGGCAAATGCTATTGAGCTGTATGTCCTTTCTCTTCACTTCTCACCGGTGTCTGTGCCCAGCCTGTACCCTGTGCTGAAGGAGGGGACAGGTCTATGTGTATGGTCGGAGGGCTCAGATTTCCTGCATTGTGCTAATATAATTGTTTGGTGTTTGGGCGGGGCTCTGAAGCTGTGATTTGTGCATTGCAGGCCTTGAAAACCAGAATCAGCAACCTGCCCACTGTGAAGAAGTTTCTGCAGCCTGGCAGCCAGCGGAAGTTCCCCTTGGATGCAAAAGCTTTAGAAGAAGCCAAGAAGATTTTCAGGTTGCCATAAAGCTGGTGCTGGTGCTTTATGGCAACCTGAAAAAAATCTGATATGAGATTTCCAATCTCCTCTAAACTCCCTCTCTCTTGGAATTAAATACGTAGTACAAAGGAAAATGTACATTATGTGGTTTGCTTTACATTTCCTGAGATTGTCCTGTAACATTTGTTTGTTTTTTTTTTTGAGACAGACTCTTACTCTCTCGCCCTGGGTAGAGTGCTATGGAGTCACAGCTCACAGCAATCTCCAACTCTTGGGCTTGAGTGATTCTCTTGCCTCAGCCTCCCAAGTAGCTGGACCACAGGCACCCACCACAACACTCGGCTATTTTTTGGTTGTAGTTGTCATTGTTGTTTGGCAGGCCCGGGCTGGATTCGAACCAGCTACCCCTGGTATATGTGGCTGGCGCCCTAGCCGCTGAGCTACAGGTGCTGAGCCCTGCCCTGTAACATTTGTTATGGGGCATGTGACCTATCAAAAAATTATGAATGGAAATTTAAATCTGACATTTGAGGGTATGCTCTGGAAAATAGTTACCATTCAGGGGGACAGCATGACAAAATTATCCTCTTATCTTGGAGAGCCATGTTATTTCTGATAATAAAGATCTTCTGTCTTATGCACTTTCAAACAGTTGTTCCGGCTGTGACTCTCTGGTGTTCTAGGAACTGAACGCAGCAAAGAAGAAAACAGACCCTCATGTTCTCAGGAGGCCCTGCTCTGAGGCGCGTCCTCACTCTGCCTGCGGGCTCTGGGGCCCCGGGCACGACGTTTACTCTCAGTTCTCTCGGTGCCACTCAGGCCTGGGCTTCTGAATTACGGACCGTGGGTGTGAATTACATTGAACTAAACATGTGTACAGTCA